AGCTGTTGCCTCGCAGAAAGCCAGAGGATTTGCTTCTTGTAACAAACAGCATCAAAGACACAGACTGGTGTGGCAGGGATATCCAAATGGATCAAGTCAGTCAAATATAGGATAATGTTGTTGGGTTTGTTTTTTGCATACAGCAACAAATCTCAAATTCTTCAATCCTACGACAGCAATTATCTCATTCCAAATGATAATTATGATCATTCAAATTAATGTGTTGAATAATTAATTGCATTCTTTTTTAAATACTGTAAAAGAAAAAAACAAAACTACTGTTCATTTTTATTTCATGTATCCTTTTTTTGTCTTCTGTCTACCTACAACTGATTAAAAATATACATGGAAATCATTCCCACTATAGGTGGAAAAAACCTCTTTACAAAGCTCCATTAGTCTTTTGGAATGGAGAGCAGTCTGTAAAGAATGGAGCACTGATGAGCAATTCTATTTTCCCTGATGGCTGCAACGTGTAAAATATAGATGGGGAATAAAGGGAACATCTATTCACTTGATGACCATGGTGAACAATGTGGGTCAAAGACATTTCATTCATTGTTCAATTCAACCGTTTTTTCTTTATCTTTTGTGTTTTAATCCATTAGGTGAGGCACGTTGAACTGCCTTTGTGCATGAAATGTGCTGTACAGATAAACTTGCCTTGCTGATTCAATATGTAGAGTCACCTTTGTCCACTAATCACATCGATACGTGTATGTCCCAGTATGGGTGTGAAACAGGTATCAATAAAGCAAGAGCTGCCAATGCCAAATAAACTCTACATGGTAAAAGTCCACCTTAAGATGTGAGGATAAACTGCACCCTCTCACATTTACGGATACTTAAAACCATTTAATGAGCCTTGTAATCAATAAAGTGCTGTTTAGTGCATAAATCAAATTGCTCTAAATTTCAAGGCTAATGGGTCTGCCAATTTGCTTTGAATGGAGAAATCATTCCCAACACTTAAGAGGAGTGAGATGATCAGGTTAGCAGGGACGTGATTTTCTATTTCTTCTTTTTCTAATGCCTTTTCCTTTCCTTGTCATCCAAGCCAAATCCACTTGGTTTCTGTCAAAGTAGTGTGAGAGAACATCTAGGGTAAAAAATACAATTGGAAGTCTAAATTTGGGGGGATGATTTCATCAGCGTTAGTTATCTACAAAAACCTCTAAAAAGATGGGAAACACACACACACACACACACACACACTGAAACCTAATCAGTATGCAAATCAAAAAAGGAATCTGGCAACTGCCTTTCTTTGTTACTAATCTAAATCCAGTCCTCATGTAAACCATGCTCATTAGTGCCCTCTGGGAAAGTCTGATTGGTAATTCTGGACATATTCTGCTCACTGCAGTGTTTATCAGCTGTACAAAAGCATTGAATTACAAGCTTTATCGGTTAAGAATTGAGGATGAAAAAAAACATGCACATACTCTACTGAAAGTCAGGATCAAATGAAAGTAAATATAGTTTGTTTTAATGGATTTTCATTTCAGCCCTTTAGGCAACCCAAACAAGAGAATTTGAGAGACTTTTGTATCCTTTCTGCACAAGCTTTCTGTAAATACCAGTCACTAGTCATGTTAAAGGATTTGAGATGATGACACAAAGGCCATTGTGCTTGTAGTGAAAAGCCAAACGCAACATGTGGGAAGTGCCAACCTGAATAAATGCTGTAGATAACAGTTTATTTGCTGTTGCTGCTGTGATTTAAACAGTGTTTGACCAAACATACAGAACAGACTGACAAGGGTTTTGAGATAATGGTGGCAGGTCGGCTGATGCCATGTGTAGGTGGGGGTGGGGGTCGTGTTACAGCGTTACATCAGGCTAAAGTGCTCTGTTGTTTCTCAAATGACAGGAATCATAGACAATTTGAAACTGATTTACCAGCAGGTGCTGTTGCAAATCATGGTGAAATGCAGTCAGGTAAATATATGATCAGAGCAGCGGTGGCTGCAGATGAGGTAGTTGACCTTTCTGTCCAACCCAGTACATCTATGGTGGGAGGGGCTTGGTAACCATGGTGACACTCACACTCACCTGCCTTAGTTTTATCTTCCAAGAAAAGCTTCATGGCAGAGTAGCACATAAAAAGTTAGCAATTAAAGCTGCAGTGGGTATTTTTTATAAAAAATAACTTTTCGTCATATTTGCTTAAACAGTCAGTATATTCCTGTCAGTAGTACATGAGACAGACAATCTCCTGCCTCCTTCTAGTGCCTAGTAATGACATTTGCAAGAATCCACCGAGGCTGAATAAAACAACCAATCAGCTGCCTCTGAAGCCTGGGGCACTATGTCCTGGGACCATAGAGCTCGGGAGGAGCATCTATGAGAATACAAGTCATGGTGAGAAGGGACTGGGGTCTTGCCGTGGAAAGCAAACCCTCTCATGAGGTTTCCCAGGGCAACCGGCTCCTGCTGCTCTGCTGTTGGTTTGGTGGGAGGGGCTTAGTAGACTGATATGAGCAGCAGGGACAGACACAAAAGGCTTTTCATTGCGTATGCTCAAGTTCCCTACTGCAGCTTTAACGCTCACCAAACAGACCACTTGCATTGGTGCGTATTGCATTAACTTCAGAAAAGTTCTCATAATTCTGAGATACACCAACCCAGAGCCCTTAACACTGGCTCTCCAGCCCTAAGACAGCATCAAGTGAGCTCTAGCAGCCCTGCACACGGCTCTGTGTCCCCTATAGCCTTCACTAGAGGAAGGTTGGTGTGGCCCATGCCCACAGCCGAGTGCCTGTCTTGGCTGTCTTCCCACGTTCACACACGGATGGTTGCAAAGTCCACACATCCAAACCCAGAGGTGTGTAGACCTGAGAGGACAGCCGAGAACAGGCCCTCGGCCATGGGCTCATGAAGCCTTATGTTATTGTATAATTCTGTGGTTTATGAGTGAAGTCTATTAATTACTCTGCAGACTAGAGTCTCTAATAACAGTGACAAACAGATAGATAGATCTGCATTGTATACACTTGTCTCCTCACTGTAATGCATTATTATAAAGTACGATGAATGGGTGTGGGTCACATCTCTCGCCTGCATCCAGGCGCACCCCCAACTGTGACTTCAAGTGTCCCTGCCCCCAGGTGACAGAAGAGGGCAGTTGAGAAAAGGCACATTGACCTCCCTCCCCCCCTCCTGCTGGTTCTCCGGCAGAGAGGAGTGAAGGCTAGGGAACACAGGAAGCTGTCTCAGGGCTGGAGCGCCAGTGTAAAGGGCTTTGAGTTAGGCTCAGGGGGGCTGGTAGCTGGCCCTGCGTATGGAGAGCCTGCTGGAGGTATCTCGTTAATTTAGAAAAACAAAGGTTTTTTTGGTAAAAACTAATCACAGAATTATGAGATAATAACTTGTAAAATCAGTTAAGCATGGCATTTTGTTCTCTCTCAAAATCTACAGTCCCAAGTCCTAAACGTTGAGTCTTAAACAAGTCATCAAATGTAATGCAATTTTTAACAAGACAGAAACATTATATTAAAGAGGACATATTGTGGGTCTTCTAGAATAAGTTTACATGATTGAATGTTTAACTAATAGATTATTTCTCTCATATACTGTACATTGCTGCATCTAATTTAAAAGCTGATTTGTCATTTGTATGAGTCAGGGAGGTGCAAAGATGACACCCACTGGATGCAGCTGTTTTGGGTGGTACGTGAAACATTTTTGAGAACAGTTTTAACTGATGTTTCAGCCATTTAAGGAATGATTTGGAGAGTATATTCTTTTGTCATCTGTTCTTCTCATACTGTATCAAGGCAAACTGGTGAGTCATGTCTGAATTTGTTTAGCAGCTGCTTGTTTCTTATTTTTGATCTTATTTTATCAGTACTTTAACTTTTGAAATCATTCCGAATGTTAAATGGATTGCTTTATTAATGAGGAGAGGTTTAAAGACAGTTAGCCGGATCGCGGGAGCATTTTAATGGTATTTCTATGGTAAAATACAATAGGGAGTAGTTACAGTACAACAAGATACAGTATATATTTGTCTGAGAAGGGAGGTTGACTCGATAAAAATGTGTTTTAAGGCAGGAGATAAAAACTGAGTCAGTGCCCTTTCAAAGTGTCAACCTTCAGTTTCATCCCACTCACAGCCACCAACAGATGATAAATGGTATGAAAGCAACCCATTCAATCTAACTATCTTTTAATTAACTCAGCTCTCACCCAAAGAACTGTAAGTAAGCAAAAAGTTTTGATTCCAATTTTATCCAATTACGTTTTGATCTTTTCTCCCTAATAGCACACTGATGCTCTCTTTTATCTTCGCTAGGGTCTCATCTGACAGTCAGCCACTGCAGCGATAATTAATCGACAAACCACCAGCCTGATGGGAATAATAGGCCTTTGGGAAGAATCAATACTACAACGCAATTCCTCACGTGCATCATACAGTTTTTCATTTGTGAGAGGTGACAGAGTATCCTCTACTCAAATTAACACTGCTTGTTCACAGTGAGTCTGTATAGCAGCTGCATTAAGAAAAAGAACATGTGATGCCTTCCTGGCTCTCAGGAGGGAGTGTGAGGACTGAGAAGGATTGTCACAGCTGAAGTGCATGTTTATAGATCAGCTCTGACTGAGTGCTCCTTTAGAAAAGGGCCTTCACTGCCCAATCGATGAGGCGATTATATCATTGTTACCTTCCACTTCATTATGGAACAGTGTGAGGTGAACACACATCCTTTGGGCTATATAAAGATACAGAGCTTTTTGCGTACACTGTGTGTCTGTGTGTGTGTGTGTGTGTGTGTGTAGGTGTGTGTGTGTGTTAATTTGTCCTTGGATGTTTCATTGTCGGAACTGTTAGCAGCCTGTCATCCACACTGAGACAGTAGCATACAAATATTTACCTTGATAAACACTGACAGCTCATTAGATGTGTCACTTCAAAGGAGCAGGGTAAAAATAAATGGGCACAGCCACTTGTGACAGAGATAGCAAGGTGTTTTTTTGTGTGGCATATGTGTGTGTACCTGTTACAGTCGACGTGCAGCAGAAGGTGGGAGGCGCTGATGGTGAGAGCAATCTTGTGCCACTGGCCATCAGCGAGGCGGTAGGGGAAGGATTCGGAGCGAGGCTTTCCTTTGAAGCGGTAGTGATAGCGGATCTCCTCTCTCACCCCGCTGCTCTCCAGCTCAAAGTAACTGCAGTGGAAGAGAAGAGGTCAGAGGTCAGATGTCAGAGGTCAGAGGTCAGAGAAGCTCGGTGTCCTGTACAAGGTTTCTGTTCAGGGTAAATTAAACCATTATGGTTCCAAGGTCTTGTACAAACTAAGTTAGTGAAGGATTTTCAAAACCTTATTTTAGAAATAAAAATTGAGCACAGCGTTAGTTCAGGCAGGCCACAAAGTCAAGCTCGGCTCACATTTTCAGCTACATCAGCTGATCGAAGTTGATGGTAGCTGATCGTAAACACACACCAGCTGATTCCCTTCAAGCATCCAATTGGCAAATGTTATTCAGGGCGCCTTATTAAAGCTGCTTTAGCCTGCTTACCCTTGCTGCTTCCTTTGCAAAGCGCTTTGGAACCAGCCTTCACCCTAGGTAATACTTTTATAAAATTTCTGATTTAATAAATGTAATTTCTGTTGTCATGTACCATTAGGGGTCTTTGCTGCTGCTCTCCTTGTCTAGAGCTTCCATGCACATGGAAAGGCAAAGAGGTCCCATACAGAGCCTTAACACCAAATAAAACATTCTGCATTCGGAAATAAAGTTTTCTTTTGACAAAAGTGGTCCTGACAGAAATAAAAATGATTTATATCATATCTATATATATAAAATGTAATATTTCTATTTCAGAATGAGTGAGAAAGAGAAAGTAAACTAGTTCTGAGACAATTAGTCAATTAATTGAATAGTCAATCAACAGAAAAATAATCCCACTATTAGGTCAGAATACCAGTTAGATTAAAAGGTGCTAAAGTGGAAATATTTATTCCTCTGCATGATTAGCAAATTAAATGTGAGGTCAATTAGATCTATCAATTAGAATTTTACATGTCTTGCATAGAAGAGGAATCAGGAGATCAAACTCAGATTTGCAAAAATTTCTTTGAAATCTAAAAAAACAAATACTTCCGCAATAAAAATTACTGATTAAACTATGAAAATGTAATGTCATGATGTCTCACAGATCTCTCTGTAGCTGTAGTCTGGGAGAAAAAACAGTCATGTTGGTAGACTACACTGCTTTGCTGATCTGATATTTATCAAAAACGCCACTATCATCCTGACCCCTGAAAACACACTGCCATTTCATTATCCTGCGAACAAAACACTGATAATGTGTGAACACATGAAGGACAGTGAATTGATACTTTAACAAACAGCTACTGAGCTTTGAGTAAAAAGATGCCTGTCTATTTCTTTAACAAAACAGAAAAAGGAAAGATCACCCACTATTCTCACATTACAGTGTAACTGCAGGCGTTCGACCTGCAGCTCTTCTCAGCACCATGTTGCTCACAACTCTCCACCCTCATCAGCCACGCTAAATTAAGAGCCAGCCAGCCACAGACAGCAGCAGCCCGAGAGCCGCAGGCAACCAGTCGTGACATTTCAGCTTCCCTGCGGCTGCAAGTGACCCCAACACTGGAACCCCTGGCCCCTCAGCACACACACATTCACACACACAGAAAAAAACACTGTGACACAGTTCTCCAACAACCCAAACCTAGCCAGAATCTATCCTATGCCTATGTATTCAGGCACAAAAACACAGACTCGCACACATACGCACAGGGATCAAGCCCATTCAATACCAAAGCTCAACAGCTCTTATGCATATTTATGGAAAGGGAGAGTGGACCCACTCAAGAGAATATCAATCGAGGCTGTGGGTCAGCAGATTTATCCATCCTCCAGTTTGGAAAATATATGAAACTGAGAAGAACTCGTAAGAACTCAACACAATCTAAACGTCAGACACATTATAGTATAAAATATCAGGACATCATTTTCACACTGACTGGGAAGGTACACACTGGAATTGATTACTATTTCTCACCTTAAATCTTTTCAGAAACCTATCTTAGTGTACTGTTTATCGGTGAATGTGTGTGACCAAGCGAACCGCCATTGTTTGATGCTACGGACGAGTAGCACAGCCAGTGAGTGCAGTTCAACTCGAAATAGATCATTGATGTTGGCTGCAAAAGATCAACATGGCGAAGGCCATAATGCCAAACTCAATGCGGAGGGGAGGTTGAGCAGTCTTGTAGGGTTCAGCTATATCAGTTCAAACCTTTCCACAGAGCTAATGACTGCCCATCAGCCCCCCACACAGCAGGCTGTGTTAATACAAAAACAATTATCACACAGTAAATTAACAAGAATCACAGGGAAGTGTTTTTCTACAACATTAAATTGCATTTGCACGCGTCGAGCAGTGGCTTATTACTTACACGTCCGTGTGTGTATGTGTGAAAGGAAGGGGAGTAACAGTCAAGGTATGGCTGGCCAGCTCGGCTGTTTTTGTTCAACATGTCATCACTCTGAAATTAAATGAATACATCACTCTGTGGCGAGCGCTGGGCACCGACCTGACAGCTTGTCTCCATCATGCTGCAGGAGACAGAGCCGCTGATACATGTCAGCTGGAGAAGAATCATTTGCATTGAACGAGGAGTAAAACGCGAATGAGAGCTCTCCAGCTTCGCCTCTTCCACTGATGGAAGCCTCCTCGGGGCTTTGAGAGGCCTGGAATCACCAAATGAGCAGAAACACCGTTATCCTGATTTGACTCATGAAATAATCATCAAAGGCATTAACTCCACTTCACAGCAAGCATTTATTTTATGAAGCATTTAGTGGTAGCTATTGTATCCCTGCATTACAGCATATTTAATGGAGGGGAATAATCTATTGGCAGGCAGTCCATTTGTAACAAACTGTGTAGCCTGACAGACACTAAAAATGACATATCTGTTTTGGTGATTCTCTGTGCAAAATAAATAAACAATGAGCCTTATCAGCATTTTAAAGGCTTTCTTTTCATTGCTGATCCTTTCATAAACAGCATTTTACAAAGCTTTTTTTTTTACTAATGGCAACTGTGTGGATCTAACAGACCCCTAATGTGAGCCTCCATGCTTTCAGAAAAGAAAAAAAATCCTGTTAGCATATCAAAGAAAACTGACATTTTTGGCTAGCACTGGTAAAGGGAAACTCCTTCATGATTAAAATGTGTTTGGATTTGATATTAGAGCAAAACCTCAGCCACTATTTTCTGAACAAAAATACACTTGAAAATAAGATGTGCATTAATAAATTCGAGGCATACGAAGAAAAATGGACTGATTTACCAAAATATTTTCTTGCAAAAAACATATGTGAAAGGCATATGTTGGTATCAGTTTTCTTTGTTGTGAACCAAGAGGTCAGACTTTGTTTTATGATTAAATAGGTTCCAAGTGTACAAATTGATTAGGATCACCTAAACACTTTGTTAATGACCAGCACATAATGGATAATGAGATATGGAAGGCTGCAAAGGAAACTCTGCTTGTGTCCCTCAAATTTGGATTAAAAAAGCCACATCGGGAGCATCCTTTCAAAACAAAAGGCTTTGTTTGCCAATTAAGATACATCCAGTCTAGGAATGTGGACTTCAGAGGACAAACCCCTGAACTGGGCACAGCTTTAGATTTCCTTCTCATTTTTAGTACACTGGGCCACAATTATATAGGAATTTTTCCTTGCATATTCAGGAGTCAATATGTGATTTTTGCAAGAATTTGACTTTATGACTACTTTTTTTAAACATAACTGCCATGTTCTCTGTTCTGGCTCCTGTTCTTTTTGGGATATTCTACCAATTTTGGATGATATCTACATCCCACATGGTTTGAATGCACTTATTGTGAGTCGCTTTGTACAAAAGTGTCTGCCAAATCAATATAATGTGATATTATAAAGATAAACTTAAAGAGTTACATTACACAACAAGAAACCTACTTTGGTGTCAACGTAGCTGTGTTTCCTTCCAAATGTATCGCAAATTTTAAGCAAATTTCAGGCAAATCGGTAAAACAAAATGTGAATGAATGCTTGCTTCCATCCACTACTATTATGCGATTATTAGAAGTGTTGATTCATGAGATAAGCAGTAGGTCGCTGCAGTTCTCAAGTAGAAAAAACACAACAAGAGGGCACAACAAGTTCAGGAAGGTTGCATTAGATCTGTGTGGAGCGATCATGGATGTATTATAGAGCCATGGAAGCAATATCGGAGTGGAAGAAGCTGATCCATCATGAGTTAAATGTTCGCGACATCAGAACTTCAGAAAATCAGAAAAAGTGTTTCTATCTCCCATTCAGTGTATTAACTCTTTTTCAAAAAAGTCAAAAACCACCTAAAGCCAGCATAACTTTTTTTTTTGTGCAACGTTTAGATGTTTTTTCGATCAACTACTAATGCTGAACCCTTCATCTACAGATATGTGGTGATTTTGCAGGGATAAAAGGAGATTTTTTGCATCACGACTTTAGCGAATCCAATCGAAACAGAAGCACTTTAATATAAAATGTTCCAGTCAACAGTCAACTTTCCATACAGTGTCAACTAAGAAGCTCTAGAGAAAATGAGAATCAATATAGTCTGAATGTTTACTATTGCAAGTGCTGGAATTTGTCCAGGAGGTAATGTGCAGAGACACACTGGCAACTTAAAGCAGCACACTGGTGTGCATGATGTCACATAAGATGACCTCCCATACTGTGTGGTACATACAGAGTAGTGGGCAAACTATATGTACATCACTCTAAAAATACACATTTAGCATGAATTTATAATGTGCCTTTAGGCAGCGCAGCATACAGTGTGACTGAATGGGCAGTGGTCAGTGTCCAGTAGCATATTGGTCTCATTCCTGCAAATAACCATATTTCCAAAACAATTCTAGCTAATCCTTTAAGAAGAATCTAACAAAAGAAAATGAGGAGAGGCATTAGCATTAGCATGATGTCTTCTTCCTATGTCCCACATTATGAACATCACCTCTGGTGAGAAGTCACCTTGAATAATGGCTTTTCTGATAAAAGAAATGAAGGATACCCAGATGAAGTTTGTTCTTGACAGGTGGCAAAGACACTTTAGAAGACATATTGTCAATGTTAATGGGATATGGGCAGAGCAGAGCCAA